TACCAAGGCACAAATCTTAAAGAAATCTACAGAAGACTGTCAGGACTTAAGTATGGAGAACTGTTACTTTCTTTTGGACAAAGGCTGAAGTGTCAGAGACTACTATTTTCATAAGTAAGAACCTTATAAACAACCTATGGTAAGACATTGTATAGATCAGTAAACCACAGAAGTGAACTGAATGCTTAGTGTTGGAGGGTTAGGTTACTTGAAGTGATTTCCAGACTCAAGATGGTTTCTAAATGTCATGCTTGTAAATGAATGCTCGTGCAGATACACCAGGTGAAAAACTGTGGCCCAGCATAAGCAGATATTTGTGGCACTGCAGTTATCCTATACTGACATAGTGGAGCAGACCCAACGCCATCCCATGACTGTAGTAGCCTTTGTGTCTCCTGAAGCTCAGGAAGGGTGCTGCTTAATTATGTTGGAGGGCCCCTGACTGTTTAAATAAGGTACAGTGTGCTACCAAGTCACAGCCTACTTGGTGACCCCATAAAGTTCCACCACATGGGGTTTTCAAGGCAAGAAATGAGCAGAGGTGGTTTCTCGCCATCCCCTGCATAGCGATCCCAGTCTTTCTTGATGGTCTCCCATCCAAGCACTGACGATGGTCAACCCTGTTTAGCTTGCAAGCTCAGAAGAGATTGGGCTGTTTGTATGTAAAGTGCCACCAAGTCACAGCCAACTTAGGGCAGCCCCAGCAAGGGGCTTCCAAGGCAAGTGAAAAGCAGAGGCGGACTTGCCGGACCTTGGTGTTGCCACTGTTTCCCAGTGAGTTGAATCACGAGCTGATGCTCTGACTTTGTGGTACCCCCTTCTGCAAAAGTGCATTAATTCTGGGGTATTTTTTAGAAATTCAGATTCACCCCATGTGTACCACAGTTCCTTTGAAAAGGGATTGTGCAGCTTTCTCATCATGTACTTCATCAGCAATGGAACCTCCTTTAAAAAATTTTTGCGCATACATAGTAATGTTATAACATCATAACATTGTCCCAAAAAAAAAAAAGGGCTGGATGTAGAATGGAGGAAGGTTCACAGTTGATTGGATATTTGGATTCCCACCACACCCAGCAGTGTTTGCTAGGGTGGAAGTTTGAATTTCAGCCAGCACACTGGAAAGGTTTTGTGACACTGCGATTCTCTGGTCTGCGCTTTGTGACCACGCATGCCTGAGCATTGTGGGGAACTGCATGGTTGCCGCTATTTCAAAAGTCCCCTGCTCCTCCTTAGTCACCAATTAACAAAATGGCCAGCGAAGATTCCCACAAAATCCTAAGGAAAATAGTATTGCATTTGTGATCGTCAAACTGTATACACCAATTCAAAATGGCATTATTATGACCATTTAATGATTATAAAGTATGCTAAATGGAAATACTGCACATGTTTAGTTTCCCTAATATCAAATCAATTATATAATTCCATTATTTTCAAATATTTAAAAGACTGAACTGTCATAAAAAATGCAGAGGGGAAGAGAAGGGGCGGGGGAGAATGAAGAAACAATACAAGCATGAGAAGATAAAACCTACCCACAAAAAAATCAAGAAAATAAGGAAAGGAACTTCACGGACAGTAATTGTATGGAGAAGGCTACATTAAAGCTCACCACTCACTTTGTCCCTGTGTTATAATGCAGCAATATTCTTATGTTATTCTCTATGTCCCCAGAAGAATGCTGAGACCAGTTGATAACAACTTGCTGGTGATCCCCAGCCCTAGGGAGGTCTGGCTGTCCGAGGGCCAGGGCCTTTTTGGTCCTGGCCCTGGCCTGGTGGAACTCTCTGCTGAATTTATTTTATTTTTTTATTTATTCCTTCGATGTATATACCGCTCACCCCGAGGGCTCTAAGCGGTTTACGTATTCAGTTAATACCAATCCTTACCTAGGGCCACATACATACAAGGGGAGAGTGACTAGCCTACCAGGCACCCTTGTAGCGAGTCTTTTGTTGTTATCTGCAGGAGATCGTGTTTTTCCCAGACTGGCACCCTCTGTTAATTTTTTCCCTATGACCCCCATTTCCCCTTCCCTGCCGCACAGACAGCACTGTAACTGGCAAAAGGGGTTATGTCGCCATCTGGACTGGTTAACTTATTGGTGCATTGTGATAATTTTATGTTTATTATATTTTAATTGCTTTTAAAGTTGTAAATTGCCCAGAGCTAGTTTAAGAAACCAGCATCGTAACACAATCAAAAATTATACTTAAAAGATAAATCAGTCTGTTGTTTGGGGGACCGGGGGGGGGGGAGGGTGTACAAACGATGCTGATGCCACAAAAGGGGGGTAGGAAACAAAATTCAATTTCAGGAATTCCACACTGGAAAATGGCAAGTTAATATCTGATAGGGAAACAAAAATCATGGGAAAAGTGGACCCAGAAAATGTGGGATGACGGGGCAGTAAATTCAGAGTTACTCCAAGAACAGCCAAAAACTGTGCAGAAAGTTTTACAAACATCGATGATTAAAGAATGCCAATGCAGTGGTTTGCACATGTATGGAAATGGTCATGGTTTGCCATTGCCTTCTTCTGCAGAGCTTTCCTTGTTGTTCTCCCATCCAAGTACTTACCTTGCTTAGTTTCTGAGATCTCATGAGATTGGACTTAACCATGCTGCCTTCCCTTCCATAAGACCAGGGTAGCCTCTGGGTAGTTAGGGCTGCCACCCTGACTCTGTGATTTTGAAAACAGGGGTGGCTGTCATGATTGCCTTAATGCTGCTTTCATGCCAATGATGTAGCTGTCCCAGGTAATATGACGACATCTGTATTTTTTTTTAAGGAGTCATCTTTTTGTCACAGTGCTTGTGCCTTATCCTATAAATTTCTGCTCAGGATTCCTTCTCAAGGATGTAATTTGTTCCATGGTAATATTACTATTATTTATTGGATTTATATCCCACCATCCCTGCAAGCGGGCTCAACAGTTAAAATACAAACATAGTTTTGTTGTTCAGTCGCACAGTCGAGTCCGACTCTTCGCGACCCCATGGACCAGATCACGCCAGGCCTTCCGGTCTTCTGCCATTCTCTGAAGTTTGCTCAACTTCATGTTCGTTGCATCTATGACAATGTCTAACCATCTCATCCTTTGCCGTCCACGTCTTCTTTGACCTTCAGTCTTTCCCAGCATCAGGGTCTTCTCCTAGTAACATAGTAACAAATCTAAATACAAGTACAAATTCATACAAAGTTAAAATTCCTACAAACAGCAACAAATTTCCAGTATCCACGGGCACCTCTGATGCTGGGCATATGCTAACAAAGATAAGGACCCACTCAGCAGATGCCATGCAATCACTAGAAGGGGCAGTTCACCCGGGCAGCATAGGCAGGGGATTTAGATGTCTACTGCCTCAACCAAAGGCCTGCATCTTCTGGAATATCAGTGGCATTCACTCAGCTGTCAGTATACTTGAGCCACTCATTCAGTTATTTCCACATGCATGGGATAATTCATGAGATGAATCCCACATATGGAAACCTGATCTATACTGTAAGAACAAGATCATTCTCAATTTACAATGCAATTCCATGAACAAAAGCGTCATTTTCGATGGCGCATTCACTAACCTTTGGTTAAGTACTGACAATGAGTGAATGAAACACTTCATGTCGTTGAGTGTTTTGAAGATAATTAGAACAGTATCAATCCTTTTAAACAGATACAGTAACTACAGTATGAGAGCCTTATTCCCTTGTTCTCTAAAGCAAATTCATGGCAACACAGTCAACAAGTAATCTTGTGTTCTGCATTAACTGAAAATATTCTCAGCATTTATTAATTTGGGCTAGATTCAACATTCTAAACTTCAGATGTTAATTTTACTATTCCTACCATGTTGTAAGATTATGTGATTTTTTATTATATGCAGATTTCCTTGTATTTTATTATTTTTATTTTAGTTGATTTCTTTTGTGAATTGCATGCCTTTGGTGGAGAAAGTGTGGAATACAATTTTGAGTAAATAAAAAACATTAAGTAAGAGTGCAAAAACCTACTTTTTATTTCTCAGGAAGCAGCAGGACAGCACGGAATAGAACATGAAGTCCTCTTCCTCTGACAAGTAATGACACAAAACAATTAGATCATCCTAGAGAACTTATTTTTAAACTTTTTGTACAGGGCTTACTGTTTAGAGCTATATAACTTATTTGGTATGCTACTGAACAAGAGTGGAACCAAGAGACCCTGTATGGGCAGGGCATTGGCAAGAGCCTGTAATTGTAGCAGCACAACTTATGTAATAATGAAAGGCATGGGTCCTAGCACCTTGTGCCCCTTTTGAATCCTCTGCAACAAGGACACAACTGTCTCCTGATCACCCCTGCTGAGCATTGTGAAGAGACAGGTATGCGTGACCAAAATAAAACAGGAGTTCAGGGGCACCCGAGGGACTAACAAAATTTATTCTAGCGTAAGTTCTCATGTGACCTTCACAATGAAAGACCTGAGTATGCATTTTCCTCCTTGGACACTGTGGTCCAAAAATTAATCGACCAGTACAAGGAAACAACAAGACTCCCCTCTTGGAATAACCCTAATCACCTCGTGGTCCCCTACCGACCGCACACGGAGTGCCGTCCCATCCAATGCGTATTTACTTTAAAGTAAGTCCCTTGGAAATCAATGGGATTTGCTCCCAAGTAAGATTAAACAGGAATCCACCAGCACCTTAAATACGAAGAAAACATTAGGAATAATAAACCGTCTTCAAGGTCTCCCTTGGAGAGCGGCAGTCGCAGCCTGGCAACAGGAAGAGCGAGATGCTACTACGACAAAGCACGGCTGGAAAAATAAAATACCGCGGCACCTTCTCCGGCTGTTTGGACAGGAGTCGAGCCAACCAGCACAACACACACACGCACACACCTGGACGAGGCGGCGGACAGAACAGAATGAGGCGCCGAGTAGGCGGACCTGGGCGGGGAGGAAGTGACCCCCCCTCGCCCTGCCAGGACCGGAAGTACAATTTGGGAACCGACGCCGTGCCGAGCTGGAGAGGCCTAGGAGGCTGCGGCGAGGGTGTGAATGAGGCCTGAGTGGCCGTCGTGGGAGACGGGTGAGTTCGTGGATGTTGTTGTGGGTGTTGTGGCCGCCGCCAGGCAAGAAGCCCGGGGAGGAGCCGACTCGATCGAGGAGGCCGTCAGTATAATCGGAGGGAGGGGAGGTAATGTTTGGGTAGCCGCCGCGCTTCGAGGAAAGTGGCCGCCGGGGGTGGGAAGGGGGCTTCCGGGGACGGCAAGTGACTAAGGCCTTGGGGGCATGTGTGGGTGTAAGAAGTAGGACTGGGGAGCAGAGCGAGTGGCCCTGTTAGGTTTGGTCAGGGAAATCCGTGGGATGAAATGGAAGGGAAAGGTGCCTGGACTTTGAGACAATTTAGGGGACGACTATAGAGTGTGGCGTCCTTAAGGGGGCAATATTACACTTACCTGGGAGTAAGCACCATTCAACAAAGTGGGACTGATTTCTGAGTAGGAGTGCATAGGGCTGCGCTGGTCTTCATTTAAAACCCTTCTTCGCAGCAGTAACTTGTCAAGAAAGTGGGCTGGGTAAGTTGCAACGTGTGACGTGTTTAATGGATGAGGATGGTAGTATGAGCGGATCTAGAGGCCAAACCACTGACAGATGAGGCACGCCCGGTTTCATTTGTTGCTAGCTTTTTGACTTCTCCTTTTCTCCAAGAAGTTCATGGTTTCGTCATTCTGTCCTGTAAGCCATGCTGTGAAGTACATTGAGAGTGAGTGGTTGGTTCCTAGAAACAATACTGCACTAGAACCAGGGAACTCCCTGAGGAAGTGCTGCAGAACTCTCGAAAATTAAGCTCTTATGGTTTGGGTAATGATTTTACAGCTCTTCAAGCTGTCTTTTTGCACTTCTCTTTTCTTTCTTTTTTGCCTGCCAAGTCAGAATGTGGCTTTAGAAGCATGTGTTACAAAATATTTTTCATTAACATAGTTGGGAAGGTGATGGTTGGGTTTTTTTGTGCATGTGGACATGGGTGGTATAATGACAAAGCCACTTTCAGGCCCCGGACACACGGGCTAATTGTCCCGGAGGAAAATAGCGCGCGACAGCCCAATCAGAAGTCCTTACGAGGTCCCGTGGGTAGGCGTCAGGTGCAGATCAGATGGTTAGTCCGCAGCGCGGCAAAGAAGCAGCACGGCGTGTTCAAACTGGCACTCATGCTGCGCTGCTCCTGTGGCAAACGCCGCTTTCTGTTTGTGCGCATGCGCTGTTGGGTGCTTTTCCGCATCCTGTGGAGACTTGGGGGAAAAAATCCCCTTGGTCGCGACGGAACATCGGCAGCCGCCGAATGCCACGACAGTCCACCGGAAATGCGGTCAGATGCCCGCCCTTGCCCCGCAGTTTCCGGAAACTAGTACCTCGTAGGATGGCACCTTCAGCGGGGAGCCACGGGTTCGCCACGGGGGCACTGCACTTTCCAGATGTTGGGGTGTGATCGTGCCCGGGAAATCCGCGGGACTCCCCTGCCTCTCCCACGGCAACTTTGCCGTGTGACCGGGGCCTACGTAGACATTTTGGACAGATTGAAGGTATGGCATTAAGACATCTAATTGTTTATATTAATGTTTGGCAGACATTGCCCATGGATGAGCTGGTGCATGATTTGGCCTCAGCCTTAGAGCAGACATCTGAACAGAACAAGCTGGATGAGTTGTGGGAAGAAATGACTCTGAGTCCAAGGCAGCAGCGGCGGCAACTTCGCAAGAGACGGGGCCGCAAACGGCGCTCAGACCTTACACATCAGGCAGAGCATGCTTGCTGCTACAGCGGGGCCTCTGAATCCAGCCTGGATGAAGCTGTGGAGGACTGCCGGGAAGTGCTGACAGCCAACTTTAGTGACTCGGATGACATGACAGGAGTCAAACGTCATCCAGCACTCAGTGGAACTCTCAGGAGTAAGCAGCATTCGTGGCATGAGTCTGATTCATTCACTGAGAATGCACCTTGCCGACCACTCAGACGTCGTCGAAAAGTTAAGCGTGTGACATCAGAGGTGGCTGCCAGCCTTCAGCAAAAACTTAGGGTGTCAGAATGGAGTTATGAAAAGGGTTGCAGGTTCAAGTCTGCTAAGAAACAGCGCCTGTCTCGGTGGAAAGAGAATGCACCCTGGACACCATCCAGCCGGGGGCTCTGTGAATCAGCAGAGACCAGGGCCTTCCTCAGCAAGGGGGGAAGGAATGAGAGAATGGAATGTGAAGCGGATGAACAGAAACAGGGTTCTGATGAAAATATGTCTGAATGGTGAGACCCTCAGGCCTTTCCTTACCTGTCTGTGGCTTTGTTTAATACTTTTAAAATCATTGCTTGACACTGAAAGATCTATCTTTTAAGTAGCTACTTTTATAGTCCACTTTTTGTTACCGATGTAACTTGATCTTCTTAAGACAATACTCTGTCCATAATTGAAATGTATTATTGGCACTAGTTTTTACAGGAAACACATGGACAGACTGGTGTTTTACATGAGACTGATTTCTCTCACTGGTTTCTGAAGTTCATTAGAAATGACAAACAAAAGCGTGATAAATTATTTAAACCTCACAGCAGCACATTCATCACATTTCTTGTGTGTATGTAAAACACGTAGCTCAGATGTGAACACATGAAGGTGCCTTATACTGAGTCAGACCATCGCTCTGTCAAGTTCAGTACTGTCTGTTCTGGTTGGCAGCAACTCTCCAGGGACTCGGGTAGAGGTCTTCCACGTCACCTGCTACATGGTCCTTCTAATTAGACATGCTGTGGATTGAACCTGGGGTCTTCTACATGCAAAGAAGATGCTCTACTACTGAGCCATAGCCCAGTTCAACACCTTATTAGTACACTTTATTATAAAAGAGCCAGTTTGGTGTAGTGGTTAAAATGTGCGGACTCTAACCTGGGAGAATCGGGCTTGATTCTGCACTCCTCCACTTGCAGCTGCTGGATGACCTTGGACAAGCCATAGTTCTGTCAGAAAGAGTTCTGTCTTGAAAGAGCTCTCTCAGCCCCACCTACCTCACAGGGTGTTTGTTGTGGGGAAGGGAAAGGAGTTTGTAAGCCACTCTTAGTGAAGGGCAGGGTATAATTCCAATTTCTTCTTCTCTACAAAAGAGTAGTAGTTCCTTGTAAAAGGTATTTAGTGTTATGTAAGAGATAATGGGTTTTTATTCAAAGTAAACCTACTAAGAGGAGTTGACTGTATGTGAATAAACACATCATGGTTTAGCTTGAATAAAAACACAACTTTTTGAAGAGCTGATCTAGGAGATAGTTAACCCCCCCCTATAAAGCACTGTATGACCTGAATCCTCGATGCATGGAATAGTATGGGGCATTCATCAGTATCTTGCATCTCATGTATTAAGATCTTACAAGGAGGCTCTTTTACACATGCCCTGATGACTTTGAGTGTTGTGATTGCTGTAAGATCTAGAACCTTCTAGGCTGTGTTGTGGAAATCCTTGCTCTAAGACGAATAGTGGACAAACTGATGTTTATTGATGGTTCTGTTTGTGGCAGATATTAGAATATCATCTATGGTGTTTTAAAATCTCTGTTGTGCATGTGTCTTCTGATATCTGGGTAAATATCTTACTCTTCATTATTGGATTATAAAAAACACTTTATTAGTATGGTAATGGAGCCAGCCTTTTAAGAAGTGTGTATCTGATATTGATTTAAATTGATGTCCATTTATTTATTTTATTTAAATATTTTTTATGCTATCTTTCCACCCAACTTTCCCTCCTTTCCACCCTGAGGTGGTGAGCTGTCAAAAATATTAAAACAGTTTTTAATTTATATATACAAACATATATGCATCCTCAGTTTAAAAAATATGAAATTGTAATGACTGTTGGAATACTTTGGAGTTTCAGTTTCTCTCGGGGAGTGGGGATTGATGGTTCTATGTTAGATTAAGCATTATGCTACCTGAAATGTCTCTCCTTATGATCCACTGTGTAAGGTTGACAAAGTCATATTGTAGGGGACAGTAAAGTAATAATTTGGTTAATCTCTTCTGGTCTTAATGTAGCTACTGATTATAACCTGCTCTAGATTTCTCTCATAACTCTTAGTTTCAGCCAAAATAAGCTGAATTTCCAAGCTGATGTGCTGTGCAGCTTGTTGAATACTAAGCTATCGGACCACCCATGTTACACCTCTCTGTAGCTCACTTCTTTTCCCTTTTGATGAGGAGTGTATTTGGTGATAGTTTCAAGTGGCCGTCAAAAGGCTGACTGAGCTAATGTATTAGAGGTTGCTTCCCAGGAAAGAGAAAATTCCCCTCTCATAGAAAGCAAATGACAGAGACAGAGTGTTCAGCTTCCCCCTCCTCCTTCAGCCCAGCCTGACCTTCTGCACCCCCTTTGTGCCTCTTGTTTTCTTATTTTTATAGAAAATCAATATCCTTCCTGACACAAACAATAGCTCAGGAGCAGGACTAAATGGAAGAGAGCTGAGATCTGTCCATCACCTCTCACTTTAACTCTTTCAAACTATTTAATTATAGGCATGTTTTGCTCCAGGTGTTTGCAACAGTGCAATTGCTAAATGAGGGCCATTTTAACCAAAGATTGGGCGATCAATAACACTCTATAGCAGTAGCTTGTCGGATCAATAGCATTCATTATTTTGTGGTTAAGGTAAGTAGCCTCCATTGTAAGTGGAGGTCATTAATCAGTGCTTACTGTACTGAAAGGCCCGTTTAAAGGCGAGTGCTTTTCCGTGTGTGTGTGCGTGCAGTGTGTAGAAACTGAGGTTCCTTTGCACGAACCTTTAGCCTGGCACTGTATTTACAAGACCTGTTGTAGTTTGAGACCTGTGAACAAATGAAGGGCCATCTAGTGATTTGTTCTGCTACTGGGACTTGGGGTAGGCAGTAGTACTCCTAGAGATGAAATTTCTTATAAACTGTAAAAGAAGAGGCATGATGACCATCTTACTATTGACACCTGATAGCCAATCCCGATAAAAGAATCTTGACTAGAAGATTTCTTCAGCTTTCTCATATCCAGTATGATTGCCTGATTTGCTCTGTAGTGTTGCTTTCTGGGGCTGCATAGAAACATGCCTTAACAACATGCTGTGGTGTTGAACTTGTGTCAAATAATATGTCTCCATTTATGTGTGCAATTTAATGTTTGTGTTTCCTGAGGGTATTATAAAATGGAGAGCTTAAAAAAAGAGGAACATAGGAGTTCTAAGTCGACATGGAGGTGACTGCAGGAGCTGTTTATAATTGGGCTTCCAACACCACCTGTAAAGAGACTGCCCAGAGGAACGTTAATATAGGTTACAGAGGTCACCATGCTTACTAGAGCTTTCGGGTGCTAAAGCAAGATATATTTAGTATTTGCCATCTTGCTGTTATAGTAGGTAGGCAAAGCCCTGCAAAGCATCAGGGCAACAAGGAGGCAGTTTCCATGCTCTTGTAAGCAGGAGGAGTTGGATCTTAGCAGCTGTTCCACTGTTGCAGGAGGTGGGAGAGGTGATCTTGCCTGATTCATCTCCTGAGTGCTCCCCCGAGCGGATTTTGTCCATATGGATTCATGATTCTTAGCATAGGGGTGTGTGTGGGAGTAAAAACAATCTCCTCCTTCACCATCTTGTGACAGCAGAAAAGCTGGTAGAATCACAGAATCTCAGAGCTGGAAGGGGCCGTCCAGGCCATATAGTCCAACCCCCTGCTCAGTGCAGGATCAGTCTAGAGCATCCCTGACCAAGTGTTTGTCCAGCCGCTGCTTAAAGACTGCCAGTGAGGAGGAGTGCACCACCTCCCTAGGCAGCTGATCCCACTGTTCCACAACTCTTACTGTAAAAATATTTTTCCTAAGATCCAGCTGGTACCTTCCCACCCTTAATTTAAACCCATTGTTGCGAGTTTTATCCTTTGTTGCCAACAGGAACAGCTCCCTGCGCTCCTCTAAGTGACAGCCCTTCAGATACTGAAAGACAGCAATCATGTCCCCCCTCAGCCTCCTCTTCTCCAGACTGAACATTTCCAAGTCCCTCAGCCTTTCCTCATAGGGCTTGGTCTCCAGGCTCTCCCCCCCAAATCATCCTCATTGCTCTCCTCTGCACCCGCTCCATTCTGTCCACATCTTTTTTGAAGTGAGGCCTCTAGAACTGCACACAATACTCCAAGAAATCAGATGACTCGTTAAAATGTCATTAAAGTTACAGCTTTCAACCCTAAGCAAGTTGGTTTGATTAACAGGCATTGTGAGATTTGATCCTCAGTGCCTGTCTGAGCCTTAGGAAAGCTGGAGAAGGGGGTTAGGGAGCATGGGCAACCAAAAGTCTCCCAGCACTCTGCTCTCTCACCCACATTGACGGAAGAAATACAGCCTCGCTGTTGCTCCTGGGCAGGAGAGGAAGTCTAGAGCTGTGGTGGAAGATAGCACCATCTGCAAAGCACAAGACCATTTTTGTACCATTTTATTGATTATTGGTCCCACGTTCAAAAGAATGTTCCAGTGGTATATTTCCCTCCAGATGGTATGCTAAGTGCTTCATAGAAAGCTGGTTTCCTGCAGGGAAAACAAGAAATGCCATCAAGGAAATGTTATTAAAGCTGTACTCTGGTTTATAGTTCACTCGTATAACTATCTCAACCTTCCTCCAAGTAGCTCCAAGTGACAGTTTAGCATCATGATAAACTGGGGAAAAAAGTTACGCACAGGGACAGTAACTTGCTTAAGGCCACCCCATGATCTTTGTGGCTAAGTGTCAGTTTTGAAAATAAGCTCACAAGTTTTTTGCTACCAGTCTGACCTCGTTTAGTCATTTGTCAGATTAGAGAAAACAAAAATACCAGTTTACACCATGTCCTGTTGGGTCATTTGGAGATAGTTTTTAGCCAATCACTTGATCATCTGTGAGTTGAGCCTGGTTTCCCACATCTGATTTACTTATTGAACTTTACAAAAAAATGATTCCCCCCACCCCCACACCTGTTTCATAAAGCCTTATTATGTAACGGTGATACAAAGTAAAACAGTTGGCTGCCACATATTTGTACAGAATGCTGACTGTTGTTTAATTGGAGTGTCTAGAGCAGAGGTTCCCAAACTTATTTGGCTTACCCCCCCCTTTTTCAGAAAAAAAGTACTCAGCGCCCCCCCCCCCCGAAATCTGCCTTCAAGAAGTGGACAAAAAGATGCAGTTTGTGGATCTGCACCTGGATTGTTCCAGCCCACCTGGATCGTTCCAGTGCCCCCCAGGGGGCGGTATTGCCTACTTTGGGAACCAATGGTCTAGAGGCATGCATGGGTAGAGCAGTAATTGAAAAGGAGCTAACCCGTGTGACTACCTTTCCATCTTAAAAGTTTCATACATGCATTACTTTCTCATGCAAGCCATGTTTTAGCAGATTATGTCAATAATTGCCTCTTTTTGTGAAGTTCACACATTGGCTGTTAAAATGCACTTCCCACCAGTAACAGTGGTTAAAGATGCAGTCCTAAAAACACTTAGAAAACCTGGGAATAAGCCCCAGTTAACAAAGTGGGACTTATTTTGAGTAGATCTGCTTAGGGTTCCTCTCTAAATTACTAAAGTTGATAAATTCCTTTGTTCCTGAAGCACATTAAATGTATTTCATGCCATCAGTCATTGTTCCTGACAGGCACCCAATCAGTTATATGCATTCTCTTTCTAATCTAACTGTCCACTAACAGATTTTCAGCACTGCTTAGTGAAAACGTACATGCATTTCCTGCCATTACTTTCCTTTAATTACATCCACTATTAGTTCCCTCTTCCATAACTATACAGTGCCAAGTAACTACAGTAAAACTTTTATGTTGATACTTGATAGCTGTAATGCTTGGAGTGGAAAAAGGTAAACAGTGCTTTGTGGAAGGGTTGGTCTCTTCCCCCTATATGCCTTAGAATCGATTACATATAACATTATAATTGATTAAGAAAAGATTCTGCAAACATATTTGGAAACCATTTATGTGCTAATTTCTTTGGAGTGGATCTTTGGTGATCAGGAGAGGGCTACTTCTTTATAGAATTGCAGCGATCAGGTTGAAAGCTTTAATGTAATTGGCAGTTGCTGATATGGCATGTATAATATTTTGCTATAATGTTCCTTGTCCTTCCAAAGAAAGACTGACATCTTATAGTCATCATATAGCTGTGGTGGAAAAAGAAACAGAAGAGCTATATAGCATTGCGATATGTTAACATTCCGTTTCTTCTAACTGCTGTTTAAGACAAATGGAGCACATGCTCACTTTGTTTCTGATTTTCATTCCCAGCAAAGCATCATCTGCAGACACAATAACCCTGGTATCTTTCCCCAAATTCCTGTTTTATGATCACTGTATTTCTAAATAACCTATTTTCTTTTCTGTTTCATCCGTGGTCCACAATTCTTCACCTGACTTCTTAGGCAGTCCCAGTACTGGTCATTAAAGTGGCTCTGGACATCCCACATCAAGGTCAGCCACCTTGCAGAGACGAATATAACAATGTCATTATTGTATGCTCTGTGGAAGGTGTTTGAGAATACCTGCAGTGAATGGTTTTTGCAAAACAGACATCTTATTAAAGATGCATATGTGCTTTAATTCTCTTTGCAGTGAAACCAGCAGTGTGTGCAGCAGCAGTGATACTGGCCTATTCACGAATGACGAAGGCCGTCAAGGTAACTGTAGACTTGTATTCCAATTCATCCATTAATTTCTTTCTGTAAATTATAAAATGGAAGGCATAAGCAAGTAAGATGGAATCAGGTATGGTGTGGTCACTGATGTCACCTGGTGGCTACTCATTCAAAAAAAATTCTTATTGAAGAGCTGAAATGTATAGAACTCAAGAGAAGTTAGAGAGGTGGGTTCAGATATTGTTTGGATCCATAGAAAATCTGTTACAGTTCCTTGAGATTAATACCTTTGTATGGCCATTTCCCCCTAATTATTTGGACCTAAAGGAAACCTTCTAAACGTGATTTGAAATCAGATCTCCTAATATTATGTGAATTCGCACTAATAGGTTTTGAAAGACAGTGTGAGATCCACATGATATTGGATTAGATATATTACTATTTTAGGAAGAAAACTTTAGTACCCTCCAGTTTTTGCATGTATGTGCAGGGGTTAAACTCAGCTGTTAACTATTCTGTTGTCGCAAAAATATACTTAAAGGAAATGCTTGTGTTTATTGGGCTGTAGCACTCATCAATGTTTTGTATCTGGAAAAGTCTTCTTCCAGGTAGTAAACCCATTACTATTGTGAGTGCTCTGTGGATCCCCTGCTCACCACTTCGTGAGCTCTTGAGAGGCTTACTGTGTTTATTCTTTATCACTCAAGTGTTAGGAGTGTTTCACTAATAAGTGAACACCAGCACAGTTGCTTTGTCCTTGCTGCAGCACCTGCTATTTCATGAAGATTTTGCTGTGTAGATTTTTTAAATCAGTCTTTTGAAGTGTATTCACTGTTACTTTATTACCTCTAGCTTTGTTTTTTGAAAAAGTCAGCAACTACAGTTATTTACTCTGCACGAAGACTACTTCCACCTCTAACAACTAACACTGATGAAAGAAATTGCCTGGCAAAGATATAATGCAATGAATGGGATATTTATCTAAGGATATTTAAAAGGAAGCACATTTTTTATCAGTCTTTCAAAATGTAGGCAATTGCTATTAGATGACATAGATGACATGTTCTATATCTAGTAGAAAGTTGTTTCACCCTTATAGGCACATGAGCAAACATGGTGCTTCCACTTAGGAATCTCCTTTCCTTAAAGTGAATGTTGGTGATTGCATTGACTTTTACATGTGTGGGAGGAATAGTGGGATCATATATTAGAGCATTTGATGAGTGGCTTTGTGCTTCTCTTAGGAGATGATGAACAGAGTGATTGGTTCTACGAGGGGGAATGCGTCTCAGGGTTTACTGTCCCGAACCTTCTCCCCAAGTGGGGAACTGACCACCGATCAGATGTTGAGAGAATGGATTCCAGCCTTGAAAAAGTTTCAGATCCAACGTTCCTTCTGCCTTCTCGGCCTGCTACAAGAGGTGAGTTGCTTATGGATGTGTGGGGGATTAGTAACAGTGGGCTTGGGGAAACTTTCGGCATAATTGTACTCTAGAAGCAAGGTATATTTTTGCCATTGCAAATATCTTGGAGGTAAAAGTTTGCTGTAAATTAACATGGCCTAGTGATTGAGGACATTCTTGTCAGAAGAGGGTGCTGTAGCCTACAGTGTTGTCTTGTCTTGTAGCTGCCCAAAGTTTGGTCACGTTTTGCATATAATACCTGTAGATTATATGATTTTTTTTAGATAAGTAGTCTTACACTAAGATCACTGAAATACAAAAAGTATAAACATAGAAATAGAAATCCAATCTAGAGTCTTGTTTCTGTGTTCTAACTTAAAACGCACATTACAGCCTATGTTAGCTGTTCTTGTGCCTTCATTGCACTTTTATTTTCCTTCTCAGGATTTCATGGACGCTTGAACCGTCTTCCCAGCATTGCTTCCCGTTGCCTCAGAAAGGGCCGCCGAAGGCTAGTTGGCAAGGTATTGCTTTTCAGAGACTGGCCGTTTGGTGTTTGGTGCAGGGCAGCCTGCTGTTAAAAGTTTTTTCTTCTGTAGCAAACTTTACTTCATATATTAGCTCATGTAAAAACTATTCCACTGGTTGCAAATACTCATGGAGTTCAGTGGAAGTGATGATAAGGTTATGCTGAGGAAAGGAGGCTTGTAGGATCTAGTGGTTTGGATCCAGCAGAATGTTTCCTCAGACAGAAAGACTTCCACCCCCACAGGTGGCCCCCCCCAGCAACATTTCTGGGGGTGCTCTGATGGGAGCAAAAGCGGCATGTCAGGGAGCATGAGGGTCAAGGAGAAACAGGGCACCGTGCTGAGGATAAGGGGAATGTGCCCTCAGAAGGGACCTCTTCCCCAGCTGGTGAGCGGGTATCCTTTCGCACCAAGGAACCATCCCTGGGCAGGGTGGGAGGGGGGCTCTTGGTAGTTGGTGATTCGATCCTTAGGCAGGTAGACAGCTGGGTGGCAAACCCACGTACTGACCGTATGGTGACTTGCCTGCCTGGTGCGAAGGTAGCGGACATTACGCATGTTTTAGAAAGGCTGGTAGGTAGTGCTGGGGAGGAGCCAGTGGTCATGGTGCATGTCGGCACCAACGATGTGGGGAAATGCAGTCGTAAGGTCTTGGAGGAAAAATTTAGGCTGCTAGGCAGGAAACCTAGGTCCAGGACCTCCAAGGTAGCTTTCTCAGAAGTACTACCTGTTCCACGCGCAGAGCTGGAGAGACAGGCACAGATCAGGAGTCTCAATGCGTGGATGAGACGATGGCGTAGGGGGGAAGGGTTCAAGTTTGTTAGGCACTGGGATGCTTTTTGGAACAAGAGGGAGCTGTACAGGCGAGACGGTCTCCACTTGTCCCGAGAAGGAACCAGGCTGCTGGCGCTTAAAATCAAAAAGGTGGCAGAGCAGTTTTTAAACTGAATATTGGGGGAAAGCCGACAGGAGATGAAAAGTCTCTGGTTCGGGTTGGCTCATCTCAGAGAGATGGGGGGGTACCTGTTGGTTTTCTACAGGGAGGTGGATTGAAATTGTCCACTGAGACCATGGCTAGTAACGTGGACTGCCTGACAAGGTCTCGAGATAGCAAGAGGAAGGTTGCAGGCTTAACTTGTATGGGAAATTACAGCTGTTTCTATAGAAATGCTAGAAGTGTCCGAGGTAAAATCGGGGAGTTGGAGTGTTTGGTGTTGGAGGGAAAAATAGACATTGTGGGTATGTCAGAAACTTGGTGGGATGAGGAAAATCAGTGGGATACGGTGATTCCCGGTTATATATTATATCGGAAGGATTGGGGGGGGGAAGGGTT